CCCCCCCCCCCCCCCCCCCCCCCCCCCCCCCCCCCCCCCCCCCCCCCCCCCCCCCCCCCCCCCCCCCCCCCCCCCCCCCCCCCCCCCCCCCCCCCCCCCCCCCCCCCCCCCCCCCCCCCCCTTAAAAGACAAAGACAAGAAAATATTTTCACGTTACACATATCACTGTGAAGAAAGTTCATTTAGAGTTGTCGAAAAGTGCTTTTTTTTGTATTCAGCATACTTGATAATCCAGTAGATTTTCTATTTTTGGCGAAGAGTACTATGAAAAGTTTACAAAAAAAACTTTTGAACAAAATGGCGCAAAAAAAATTTTCATGGGAAAATAATATTAGTTTCGAAATTTTTCTTAAACTTTTGATGGTATCACTCGTCAAAAATAGAAAATCTACCAGATTACCGAGTGTGCTAAATACGAAAACGCACTTTTCCACGATTCTAAATGAACTTTATTTTTCTGTCGATGATATGCACATCTGAATTTCTCCGTTATTTTCTGCTTATTGAATATAGTGCATATTGCTGCTCACTTCATTTTGAAAACAGTTCGATATGCAGAAATATTACCAATCTCGTTGGATAACACGAAAACAGACTCATTTATTCAGCAATATTTTAAAACAAGAGTTGTCACATTAGAAGACCCGAATCTTTTAATCTATCCTGAGTTTTAAAGAGTTTAGAGGGATCTTGCAGTGTGTCCTAAAAAAAAGCATGTTTTTCAGCACTTTTTGAGTTTTGTTCCATTTGCAACGAATTTATTTCAATTTTTCTACTAGATAAATATATATCTTCATATAGGCGTAGTAATTGTTTCATCTAAAATATCGTTTTATTAGCATTATAAGTGACGTTCTTTTCTATAAAAAAAATCTTAGAAACAGGGGGTGTCTTCTATTTCAACTTTTACATGACGAGGCCGATAGGGATCTTCTAATGTGACACTCTCTTTATTCACTATATTTCATAATTAAATTCAAAGTCTATTCTGTATTTTTTTGTTGATCATCGTAGAGATCCTAGAGAATCATCAGTGATTGTATATTCTCACCATTCCACATTCAAGTGAAACATGTATTATGAAACTACGTGTGAAAATCACTCACGATTATAGTGTGATGCAGACATCAGTACGTGCCGGGCTTTTGGTCGCACAGGGGCTGGGCTTGGGTCGCAAAATATTTTGGTCGGATCGAGTCGAACTCAGAATTTTTAACTATGCGTGGATTTGTAATTTATGTGTATACTCAGTACCGTGAAAGAGTATTATCACTGTTATGCGACATCTTAATGATTTCATTTAGCTAATGCCTTTAAACGTTGAAAAAATGAAAACTAGGAAATCATAAAGATATAAATATTAACTTGAGAAATACATTTACATCACTCAGCCAGCAAAAGCAGTACAGATGCATGTCTGGAACCAGAAAATTTTAAAAAGTATTCGGATCGGGCCAGGCTAGACTAGAACAGTTCCAGGATTCGTGAAGCCGGGCAGGATAAAAATTTCACGTTTAGTCGAGCCTTTACAGAGAATTTTAGCTAACAAACATAGAGAGCCGAGATTCATCAATTTCAAAAATTTTGCATAGAGTATGATCGTTTATAGTCTAAGTACTTTTATCAAATTCATCAAGTAGAAAATAGCGCAGAAACTCATATGTTGTATATAAAACATAAAATAGTATTTAAGAAGAAAATTGAAACGCCCATCTATATGTAAGTTCTAGGAATGTTTTTTTTCAGTTGTCGTATGTTTTTTATCTGTACTTGCGTACTTTCAGAGGTGTTCGATCAATTTGCACTTGCTAACACCTTATTCTCATCGTTTTGTTATGCGTATTCCTGTATATGATATAAACACATTCATAATTTTTTCTTCACAAATACGTGAATAAATTCTAAAATCTAAAAATATTCTTGGTTTGAGTATTCAAAAAATTTATATAAAGTAGATTTACTAAAAGAGTTAAGTGGCGCATACGAGTTCTATAGAGATAAAAGAATTGTTTTGTAAAGCTTATGAGGTTATTGAGTCATTTTTCTTCTTTTTCTTTGTACGTTCAATTATCATTGTAAAGTAGTTAATCCCTTGTCAATGAACATATGTTGATTACAATGAAATTGATAATTTAGTAGTCATTTTCTCTTATAATTTTATATGTCACATTTGTTAATTAAACTCAACAAGTTTGACAAGAATCTTTTCATCTTCGATAGTTGTTTAACAATGAAAAATTGAACGTCTATATTTACATAAAGTAATATTCAATGAACAACCTGAACAATTGATGTAAATCCTGTTTTTATCATTGAGTTCAAAAGAAATGTCACAAAAGTACAAATATTTTAGAAGAAAAAAAGAAGTCTAATTATTCTCTTATTATTAGGATATAAGGAGAAGAAAAAAAGTTAATAACAGATTTTCGTTTTTTATTTTTTATTTTATGTCAATTATTAAACTCAGAAGGATGTATTATTGTAGATTTTGTCAGCAAAACAATATTCTTATAATAATAACATAGCTCTACACATGTAGATTTTGATTGTATTCTGAAGATTCTTTTGTCTATCTGGAGAATTTTAAACGAGAAAGCTGCTAGTGCTTTAAATATTTAACTTCGCCTCCAATTACCATATTTTTTATATTTTCCTCTCTCTCTCTCTCTCTCTTCTTTAACCAAAATCATGAACACCACAATGAAAATCGCATGATTTTATGAAAACTATGGCAGATTTCTTTTGTAATTAAGATTTTATTTTTTTCTATAACGTGGTGAAAAGTCTCATAAATAATAAAATTTGATTACTCGTTTTCACCTTAGATATTATTGTAAATTTATTTTGTTTTCTTGCCATTGAAAATAGACTATGATGAGTCTTGCTTGCCAAGCACAATAATAGCACATAAATATACATACTACAGTCTACTTGAATACTTTGTTAAGAATTGTTTATTGCTCAAGTCAATTTTCCGTGTTTAACTTCTTGTTTCCTTTATGCGTATATTTCAATTAATTATACATTGAATTTTTTTTCTAAATGTTTCTCATTTTCATACATATATTTAATATCATTAAATAATGGAAAAATCTGTTGTTCATCTTTTCCTTTTTTTCTTATTTAACAGAGAGAGCGTAAGAGAAAGAGAGACTTTATTTGAACCCTTGAGCGTCTCATCGTTCGTGTACTCTATTTAATATCGTAGAGCGATAAATATTTTTTTTGTAAGTTCTTAATTCTGAGATAACAACAATTGTCAGGATTCATATTTTCCTTAAAAAAAGAAAAAAAAAAAACGAAGAAAAATATTGATGATAGACAGAAAAAGTAGAAAAGAACTTAGTATATTGTACGTTGAACAAAGTGTTAAGTTTAATGAATTGTTGTTAACACACATATACAAAAGAAGACAAACTGAAAATTGAAACAATTTTTCTTTTATAGTCGTTTTGACGGCGGGTTAGTTTTCTTCGTGTTCAAAAATTGATGGTAATAATATAATGGTGAAAAAGAATGAGAGAAAGAATAAAAAGAAAAATAGGAAAATATAGATTGAAAAAAAAGACATTTTGTTCATCATAAATATGTTATTGCTAAAAGAGGAGGAAAGAAATGGGAAACTCGTTTCTTCTAATTATTATTTTATGCCTTCGTTTTTTGTTTTTTGTAGATATATATGTTCTATATATAATAATAATGATTTTATCATGTGCAGATGTTGATGTCATTTTCCGCTTATAATTTCTAATATTCATAAAAACAAAAGCGAAAAGGAAGAAAAACAATAAAAAAGAAAAAATTACCAATAGTCACTTTTAATATATAGTGTCAAAATAAAAAATAGATAGAGATATCTATTACTTCTCATTTTTCATCAAACATCACAATTAACAAATTAAATATGGGCAAATCCATGTGAAGTGTCCCACATTTTACAAAAGGTTTTTCCGCTTCATTTAAAACCAATCTAAATTTTATAGAGCACATCAAGTTACGTAAGAAACTGTCTTTTCTGACTTCATAGCTGATGCAGAACCGGAGAAAAATGACATTTTTACTCTCCCAGTAAAATTATCGGAATCAGCGCCACTCTCAGTGCGAATTGATCAGCACTGCGATAAATTTCACAACATGTTCTCCCTTTTTTCGACACACCACCTAAGGTTATTATTATAGAGTAGGACATGAACTATATTCTCTAAAACTTTGAAGAACGTTCCATGTAATATTTACGAGATATTGAACTTTTAAAAATGAACTATATTTGAGTTTTATCGATTATGATCATAAAAAACTGCTTTTCAAAATATTAATAAGGTAGCTGAGCCTGTCGTTACTATGGTGCAGCCATCATTAGTGACTAACAGGTCATTGCTCTTTTTTCCTGACGTAACAGTTTTGTACGGTGGTCATGAGTAGTGAAAAAGCTCAATATCTCGTGAACATCACATGGAACATTCTTCAAAGTTTTAGAGAATATAGTTTATGTCCCACTCTATAATAATAACCTTAAGTGGTGTGTCGAAAAAAGGGAGAACATGTTGTAAAATTCATCGTGGTGCTAATCAATTCGCACTAAGAGTGGCGCTGATTCCGATAATTTTACTGGGAGAGTAAAAATGTCATTTTTCTCCGGTTCTGCATCAGCTATGAAGTCAGAAAGGACCGTTTCTTACGTAACTTGATGTGCTCTATAAAACTTAGATTGGTTTAAAATGAAGCGGAAAAACCTTTTGTAAAATGTAGGACACTTCAGATGGATTTGCCCACTATAAACATCTTGTATTTCATGTGATTATTGCCTGTTTTATAAGAAAAAAATAAAAATAAAAGAAGAAGATAGTGACGGCAGTTTTCTGACAGTTGTCGCATGCAAAGGTATCGTTTAATGTATTTTTAATTCTCTGATCTTGTTTTTGTTTCGTGTCATCTAGATGTTACTTTATTTTCATGTTTTTCACATGGGTATAACTCTTTGTGTTATAGTCAAGTTAATTTACTTGGTATGTCTGTCTGTGTGTATCTTTGTGTGTATGTGTGTGTGTGTGTGTGTGTATATAGAGCGTTTTTAAAGTCGTCACACGCATGTTTTAATAGAAAGGAAATTAGAAAATAAATGCATATAACAATATACTTTTTTGAACGAGAAACAGAACAAAAATTTTTTTTCTTCTTTTTTACAAGTGAAAAATGATAGTTGATTCAATATCATCAACAACGAAAAAAGATTTTTTTTTAAAATGAAGAGGAAAAAATATGTGAAAATCAATCATAAAAAAAGAATAACTTTTATGGTTCTAGTTCTACATGATGATGTAGGTTAATAAATCAGTTGCGATGAGAGAAAGACGATGAATGTGATTGAACGGAGAAAGAAAAAAACAGTTAGAGGAAAAACAAGATAAACATCTATGTGCATCGTGTGCTCAAATACAAGTTCGTTATTAATAACAACAATAAAAAAAAGAAATTCTTGTTGAACAAAAAAAAAGAGTAAGTTGTATTAAACGATGAGTATACATAGAGATTTAATCATAACAAGGCCCATCAATATTTCTTTCAACTTTTTCGTGAATGAAAACAAAAATTTTGAAATATAGTATTAAACGTTGAACAGTAAGTCCAAATTGAACTAAAAATAATAATCGTTTTTTTGCATTATACCATAGAAAACTGAAAGAGAATATTCATAACTGATCTTAAAATTCTTTTATCAAACAACGTTTGTCGAAAAATTTGATATACAATTCAAGCTTTTTCTCATTATATTATAGATTTGAAGAATATAATTGAAAATTTATATTTTTCTAATAGAAACTAAAAAAAACAAAATATTTTCTTTTCTTATTCTCATACTGAACTGTTGTTGAATTTGGATAATTCTAAAAACAAATGTATAACGTCAATGGTGAAAAAAAAAAACGTTTTAAAATTTTTTTTATATTTTTTTATTCATTCTATTATTCTAATAAAGTGTCAGGAATTGTAAAACTACGAAAAAAGATGTTGATTAATTTTTTTATCAACATAAAAATGTATAAAGATTTTCAAGTTAACCTACGGAAGTAATTTATTAAAATCTAGTCGTTCATAATTCCTTCCTGTGAAATGTGAATGATCTTTGTCTACTTAAGTATGAGACAATGTCGTTTTACTAAGCATATGATACCTTACCATAAATTAACTATATACCTCTATATGTACCATGTTTTAAGAGGTATTAGTTCATCATAAAAATGAAAAAGTATTACTGATAATATTAGACAGTTTAATGTTACATGCAAATACAAGATAAAAAAGAGCTCGTTATTACAGTGCTTAAAGAAGAATTCGTGATGAAAAAAATCTTCTTTGTTTTTTTTTTTACTTTTTTTAAGACAACAACGATGAATATGTCGTAAATAATTTCAAAAAAATATGGCACAAAATTTGTATCAAAATAGTGATCCAATTATGAATTATTATTCTCAGACAAGTATATCTAATACACCACAAGATCGTCGAAATCCAAATCCACCAAATTCATATTTAGATCCAAATGATCTAGATCAAACAGATCTATATGAATATGAAAATAATGGATCAAAATTAAGTAATTTAATTAATCGTGGTACTATACCATTACCTCGACGTGATATTATTGATTCTATATGTTCAAATATTAATCAAACTTTATTAGTAGCAAAATTTTTTTATTTTTTTTATTTTGCTGCATTTGGAGCATTATTTCCATTATTAAGTATTTATTTCAAACAAATGGGTATGGGAACATCATATTGTGGAATTTTAATGGGATTTCGGTAACTAAAAAATAAAAAAATTGTTCTATATTAATGAAAAATAAAAAAACACATTTTATGTTTATCTAATCTATTGTTTTTAGTCCATTTGTTGAATTTATATCTGCTCCATTTTGGGGTGTTGTTGCTTCTCGTTTTCGACAAGCAAAAATTATTTTATTAATGGCTTTAGTATCATGGATTCTATTTACTGTTTCCATTGGACTCATTAAAACACCACCACATTCATGTTGGAAACAAAATTCAACTCATACAACATTTGAACCACTTAATAATAATGCCATACGAACAGTTAAAAAACGTGATGTATTTAACAATGATGAATCATTTACAGTTCGTTTAAAACGTCAAAAATTCATTATACCAATAAATAATACAAATTATACTCAAACAATTTTAAATCGAGCATTAGAATTAGCAACAAATAAAACAAAATTAATGAATAAAATAAATTCTATAGAATATTTTAATAATACAAATAAAATTCAGACAGCAATGGAAATGATTATCGATTCAATTATTTCAACTACAACAATATCAAAATCGAAAACACCTCAACTAACAACAATAACAACAAGAAGAAGAAAAACAACTACAACAACACCATTCACTGTTCATTATGAAATAGAAGATGATGATAATGAAGATGATACATATCCAGATCAAGATACAATAAAACCAACTCTTCCATCATTAACAACAAAAACAGTAATGGGTAATCCAATTCAAATAAGTCATACAAATTTATCACTAGTTAAACCATTGGGTACAAATATACTATATTTAAAAAATGATGTACGAAATATATTTATGCTATTTTTACTCTTAATTGTTATTGGAGAATTTTTTAGTGCACCAGCAATTACTCTAGCAGTAAGAATAAAAATAAAATAAATATTTTAAAATAAATTAAAATATTTTATTCATTTTCTATTTTAGGATGCTTGTACGTTAAATTATCTTGGACAAGATACTGAATTATATGGTCGACAACGTATGTGGGGTAGTGTTGGATGGGGTATAGCAATATTTCTTGTAGCAACAATATTAGGTAAATTTTTCAAAAAATAAAATATTAACTATGTCTACTTTCTTATAAAATGATAATTATTGATATATTTTAGATCAATCAAAAAGTTTAACAATTCATCCGTGTGGTTCTAATAGTACTTTACAAGAAAAAAATTATACAGTTTGTTTTGCTACATTTAGTGTATTAATGGCATGTGCTTTAGGTATTGCCACTCAATTTCGTTTTACATATAATGAAGGTGAACAAATACCATTAAAATCATTTCAAGATGATCTTAAACATAAAGTACATCATACATCACCAAGACAACGTTTAATTAATGAAGATGATGATAGAGGATTATCAAATACACACAGTATTATAACTAATGAACAACAAATACAAATTAGTATCAGAAATCAACAGCAACATGATAATAAACATCCATTTAATGCATCATCTTCATTTTATCAACGTCGTGCATCACAAACAATGAAAATAATGCAATTAGTTCAATTATTTATGACCGTTAAACATGGAACATTTTTATTCATAGCATGGTAAGTAAAATTCTACAAAATCGATAACAATTATTTTAAATAACGAGTAAATTTTATCAGGTGGATGGGATGTGGTGTTGGACTTGTCTTTACATTCTTATTTTGGCATTTACAAGATTTAGGTGGTTCAGCGACTTTATTTGGTGAGTTTATAGATACAGCTCGCTTTTATAAATATCAATGGGTTAGAAATAATTATTATTATAACCTATGGCCATGCCACGTTGAATGCATCAGTTCTCGTTCGATCACTGAAGTTAAGCAACGTCGGGCTGTGTTAGTACTATGATAGGTGACCGACCGCCTTGGAATGCATAGTGTCGTAGGTTTTTTTGTTTTATTTCTTTTCGACAATTATATAACTCATCTATTATAGCTCGTTGTCTGATTATTTTTCTCATTCTATCGGAACTTTTTAAATTAATTCGAAAAAGTCTCATATTAAAAATTTATTTAAATTTATTTAATTTAATTTGATTTAATTAGTTTTATCAAATAAAATCAATTTAAATTAATTTTTTTGAAATTAAAAATTAATTTAATATAAGACTTTTTCGAATTAATTTAAAAAAAGTTTCAGTAGGTATAGTATTCAAAATAAAATAGAGGCGTAGAGGATATGTGTAACACTTTAAGAAAGTTAATTTGGTCTTCACACATATCTAGTGGCATTTTTAATAAAGAACTAATTGTTCTCTTAACATTTTGTGTATGTTACTTCAATTTTTTTAATTTTCCTTTACATCTGATATTCTTACTAAAACTATTCTCAGTATATAAAGATCATTGATGTAGAACAATGAGACAAGAGTAGATGTCCCTGCTTCTCTGATATATTTTTAAAGTTTTTCTTCACTTTTTAACAACAAGTTCATCGAAAACTGTCACCATTATTATCTCAGTTATTGCAAACTGTGTTTTCAGACCGAGTATGAATAACATTGAATAGAATGTTTAGTGACGAAAGGAAACTATGATCCTCAACGAACAAAAAGCTTCATCATAAAATGACGTAGAATATAGAATAGTATTTAGCAGTAGTGGCGTAGCCAAGATTTTGCTTGTGGGTGAGCGTTGCCCCAATTTTTTCAAAGTGTTAGACATTAGCGTAGAGTAGTGTGAATTATAAAACTTTTAATGGGTGCGCAAAACCAATTGGTGGATGGTGGAGCCACTACTTACCAGTATCAAATCAACTTGTGAATAATTCTTATCTTATAATTGGCTTTTTATGTGGTATATAACATTTGATACCCCTAGATCTGTTCCAACACTTGTTCTAATTAATAGAATCACAGTACATACATAAGATAAAAATGGAATATAATGTACACGCGTAGTTAGACATATTTTAAACTATTTCAAATTGAGAAGACAATCAACCATAATCGGATCAAACAGAAGACTAAATTAAATGTTAACAGACTCAAATGTTAGATATCTGATAATAAATCTAAAATATTTTAATTCTACTCTTTTTTAATGGAAATGTTCCAGCAAGTTGTAATTTTAACTATTATTGTAATAGATAACACTATTTCAGTAATTGCCGCTAGACTGTCTCAATCTTTATATGCACATTAGATTCGTATTTTATTTCAGTATTAACGTTAATTACAGATACATAAATTTTAAACACAGTGCAGAGTTCCGAACTTTTTCTCTGTTATAACGAATGATGCAAAAGTTTTTTCCTTTTTTTTTGCTTACTTCATATCTCAGACCAAAAGCATCGCACACACTTGTTCTTTCTTCCGTTAGAAAGAGCAAGTTCTGAACTACAAAATATATAATAATAGTAAGCACTGACTAGTTGAATAAAAAAGAGGTACTATTTTTTCAAGACAAACTACTCAATAACCCCATTTGTACAAGCGAAATATTTTCCTCTTTCACTGGAAAATAAGTTAATATATTCACTTCAAATACACTTTTGCTGTGTACAACACAAAACGACAAGTGGAGCAATTAAAATGAAAACTTTGTGATTGTTTTTGAAGTAAAAAGCTTCGAGTGAAGAAGTGATGACATTAATTTGAAATTGTCCAACGCTCTAATGACTCTGTATAAGAACAGTTTATTACTGTGAAGGAAATATATTTAGTTGAAATCTCATACATCAAATGAAAGCTCTTTGAACGTGCTATCGGATGACGCTGTTTCGTATAGGAATTATCAGCTTTAAGTAATGAAGTATTACTGAGTTCATTTTTGTACAGAGTTGGCTTTTTTTAGTTTTTTCCAACTAAAACTCACTGGTCATCCTAACTATGCAATATATAGCACATTATAGTGTCACAAGAAAGAACAGATTGCAACCAGTATATTGATATATAATGTATCTAAAAAATTCTAAACAGGAATCAAATAGTCTGATTAAATAAACAGAATGACTATTGACACTCCCAGAGAGTGTCAACTAGGAGCTATTGGTACTCTCATGCAAAATAATTTGCTGGGCTGGAAGTGTTAACAAGGACGTCATCTGATATATGAGCGGCCCGACGTTTGAGCGTTCCTTGAACTATAGTTTGACTCACAAGATTCTGATTGTATATTCGCATTTTGACGCGCATCTCGCTTATCGGAGAGGGCAAGTGGATAGTGAATGAAAAAGTTGAAAATTTAATACATGAAAATTGATATAACAAAAACTTATAATAAGAGGAAAATTTCCAGTATTCAGTGTCATGTTGATCACTCAATCCAACCGTAGTTGCAGTAAGCGGGTGAGTTCAAAGAAGTTTAACGTTGTGGTAGACTGTATAAGAGATTCTCTTACTTACGGGTTACTGAAATATCGGATGATCTCCTTACTGATACCCTTGTGGCTGTTAATACCAATTTTCATCTATTAGATTTTTAGCTTTTCCACTTGCTCTCACTATCCACCGGTCTTCTCCCCTCCCAGATGAGCGAGATGCCCGGGACGAATTAACGCGAATAAAACGCGAATCCGAATCTTGCGAGTCAAAGTATAATTCGAGGAACGCTCTTATATCAGATGACGTCCTTACTAATACTCGCAGCAAAGAGTTTTGTATGGGAGTACCAATAGACTTACTCTTAAATAAAATATACAATCCTCATTTTTAAAGATAGTTTTTACAAATGGGTTTATTGAGTAGCTTGTCTTGCAAAAATAATATCTCGTTTTATCCAGCTAGTCAGTATGTATTGTTGTTCTATATTTTGTAGTGCAGAACAATGCAGACCAAGCGTGTACGATGCTTCAGGACTGAGATATGAGGCAAGGAAAAAAAAGAAAGACACTTTTGCATCATTCGTTACTCACTGTCTTTTAAAGATTAAACTTGTCTCATCTGTTATGGTGCACATGACTATAAAGGGTGGCCCAGAAGTCCTGACCCGATTTGAATAATAAATTTTCTATAGTGAAATAACTGATAGTAAATTTATCTCTATGAAGAAAAGATGCAGTAAAAAACACTCTACAATATGACTATTGATTGATCCCGTTAGCTCATCTAGTAAGGATGTTATAGGCTTAGAAATGTGCTTCACAAAAAAGAAAAATCAACCGTGAATCCGGTTTCGATATTTTGCTTTAACTCTTGTTCCTTAAGTCCCCTAGAATAAGTTCTTTTTTTAATAGAAGCGTCGTGAAATTCTCTACAAAATCCGTACCTAAACTTCAATTTCAGAACTTCAATCAAGAAAACTAAGCAAATTATAGACGAAGCGAAAAAAATAAAAACTTTGTAAATTTGGTTTGTTTTACTTAACCTTCTTCTTCTCCTATTATTTTCATAAAAAAAGCGAACCAAAAGCGACAACACAATTTGTGTTGGGTACTTTCAAATGTACTCTTTCTTGTGGTTTGTAAAAAGACTTTTTAGAGCAGATGGTGTGCTCGAGAATCAAGTTTCAAAAATATGTCAAAAATGGACAACCCCGTTTCCAACAGTGTACCCAGCAAGAAACGGAAAACGTGATCGAAGTTTTGATGTTGCAACTAGGTAGAGAAGAGCAATCATTTCTGATCAAACCAAAACAAACCCGATCGAAAAACGTTTTGTTTTGATGAAGTTATGGGACTTTTACTGAAAGCACCACCATCTGGACCGGGTTCACGGTTGATTTTTTTTTTTTATGAAGCACATTTCTAAGCCTATAATAGATGAGCTAACGGAGTCAGTCAGTAGTCATATTGTAGAGCGTTTTTTACTGCATCTTTTCTTCATAGAGAAAAATTTACTATCACTTGTTTCACTATAGAAAAATTTATTATTCAAATAGGATCAGGACTTCTGGATCACCCTTTATACATTCATTCATTGACGATACACTTTAACGACGATATGTTTTCTATATTTGTTTAGGTGTAGCATCGGTGATCAATCATATATCGGAATTATTTGCCTATTTTTTCTTACATGAATTAATTCGACGTTTAGGTCATATTAAAATATTATATTTGGGTTTATTAGGAAATACTGTACGTTTTGTTTATATATCATTTCTTACAAATCCATGGTGGGTTCTGCCATTTGAATTTATTCAAGGTAAAATATTAATTAATTCTCTGATTAGCAATAACTTTTCATATTATTCTATATTTCTGAAAGGATTGACACATGCAGCTGTTTGGGCAACAGCCTGTTCATATTTATCTCAAGCAGCACCAGAAAATTTACGTCTGTCTTGTCAAGGTATTTTACAAGGATTCCATTTTGGATTTGGACGAGGATGTGGAGCATTATTTGGAGGACTTTTAGCATCAGCTGTGGGTAAGAATTTTTACATTTTTTATTTTTAAAAAATCTTTTTTAATACGAAGTATTCTAATTTTTAGGTACTGACTTAACATTTCGTCTCTATGGTATTTCCTGCTTGTTGATGATGGTAGGATTTGCAATATTAAATCATTTTTACAAAGATGGACATCGACATCGAACAATGAGTAGACCGAGTCTCGGTAATGATCCTAGAGAGTATATGCCAGATTCTGCTTTTATTGCTCCTCATGGAGTACCTTCAAATCCAAAATGGCACACATTTTCTCCTGGTTCGTATACATAATACTCAATTTTATAATATCTATGTTTTTTTAAATAAATATTATTATTTTTCAGGCGTTACTGCAGGAATACGTCATGATCTTGCGTCTTCCCCCATTCCGCCCAATGTAAATACTTACCAATTATTCTTAAATAAATAAAAATTTTCATAATTATTTCATTTTTTTATTATAGTATTATAATCAACGTATGGGTACACCGAGTGGTACGTCAAAACATGTGTTTGGAAATTATCAAGGTTTTTGAAGGAAAAAACAAAATGATAAATCTTGATTTGACGCTTATGCAAGTTAAATATGGTGTTTTTCTGTTCAGCAATTGTAACTCGGTGTATATTTTCTTTAATTTTAACTCAATCTCGGATGATCATATTTTTGTAGTAATGATAAATATTTTTACAAAAGCGGTATGTTTTTCTTTTTTAAATGTGATCTGTATGAATGATTGAGAATGCAAGAAAGATAGATTGTGTCAATTAATATATTTTTTTTTTTATTTAATAAAAAATTCGATATGTCTCAGAACACTGTGATATTAAATTATATGAAAAAGTATAAGCTACATTGGTCTAAACAGTTTAAAGATGCTTCTAAAATAGAGTGGATTGTTTTTTTTAACATTTAATAGAAAAAGCAAATAAAAATATCTTTTAAATGTAAAATTATATAGTTTATATTAATAATAAATGTACAAATAGTCTTACATTGAAAAGATGTAATTTGAACTAGAATATCGTATTTATTCTAGAATGAAACTCTAGTAGAATACGAGTTTCTTTGTGAGCATTTTTTTTTAAAAGAGTTTATGTCAGTATGCCCTTTGTACTATTACGTAAACTACGTCTACAATAATATCATCTCATACTCCCACTATAGCTTCAAATTTATTGTTTTCGTCAAACGGTAATCGCGTGTTTTATTTTTGTTATTTTGATCCTATCATCATCCTACATCAATTAAAGAACAAATAGATCACAGACAGTTTCTTTGTATAGATTTCAAAAGTTGGTGTTTTTTCATTCTTCATTTTCAATAGTAGATTACAAGGTTGTTGTAAGGAAGATGTTTTGATAATTTTGTCCATGCTTGTGTGATATGATGTGAGGGAGCAAATATGTAAACAAAGGTAAATATCTATTAAAACTTGACTTGGCGGAGCGTAACAAAAAATATCTGTTTTTTCATGTTTTTCTCCTTGACCAGGTAAAACTGTATCTTTAAAAAGAGATACTAAGCCTTGCTTTATATACTATAGGTTCACACGTGGTCCTTGGTTTTGTATATAAAATAATAATAAATGTATTTCTTGTTCTTGACAGATTAATAGAAAAAATTAAAAAATAGCGAGAACTTTAGTCTTTGCAATATTCATGAAAAGTAACTGTATAAAAGTTCAATAATATTGTTTAAAAAAGAATTCACTTCAATATCAGCATAGCTCTTTTTAGATTTTACCGTCTATACGTTCGTACTGTATTCTGATGAGGGAATCTTTGGAGGTGTCATCCTCTCTTTTCAGTGATATTACGTCGATTGATAGAGGTTAGTGTTCCGGTAAAAACTCTAAAAGAATTTATCCCCATAGTGCCTCTTTTCAAAAGTTACCACTTATCTTTTTGTTTGCTTATGTAAGGAAACATCGTAACACTAAAATTCTTTGCATCTTGGGAAAAATAGTGAATTAAAAGTTCAATTTTTCTTTTCATAACGCTGCTGTCGGTCTGTTAATATCGCAAAAATCTTTACGTTTTCAATTTCTCTATGAAATGAATTATTAAGTTTTTTTCTTTGTTAAGGAAAATCTGTATTCCGAACCAATTCATTTTGTTCTGACTTGTGTTTCTCGTGAATAAAACTGATCACAAATATTTATTTATATTGTATAATAAATATATATTTATATTGTATTTGTTTTCTTATACGTAATCGTTCTGAATCGTTCTAAAAGAAAAACAGTGAGTGTAATTAACGTTGTCTTGTCTGTCACCTTCTATTTTCATCTCTTCTTAAAAGAGATACTTCGTAATTAATACATAGTACTCACACACACTTTTGACGTTTTATTTGATTTTACAACGGCAATTAAGATGGGTTTGTATCTCTTTTCAAGGATCCGTTTTTTTTTAGCAAAGTCTGATTTGCTGTTGGAGGGAGAATTGTTTGGACTAGATATCAGTGTTTTGCGTAGTATTCTCCACATTTTTGTGAAATAAAACAAATTACTCATTTTCTTCTATATACGACACTTATTGTAAATAAACAGAGCACTATGGTGACTAGAAGATACGATACTATAACGTATATATAAAACCCACACAAGTCTACCTTCAAATTCGATAAATTCGATTTTATGCATCCAAGAGGCCTCATATCCACAAGTGTGCCTTAGTTTATGCACGAAAAACATGCATTTGGTTTATACAGTAGAATCCACTCGAGATACATCGACTGAGCATCCATTACTCTCCATTAAGTCACCGTTGATGCATTAAATCGAAATACAGGAGCATTTTGAGAGAAACCTAGCGTGTGTTTTATATAAAACTTTTTTGTCAGCAAAGAAAAAGAAGAGGTACTGTACATGAATTTTTTTAAAAAAATACTCTTCTTTTTTCACAGTGTATATCTTCCGAACGAAAAGATGTTCAGAGTTCGCGATTGTCTCATTTTCGGGAAAAAAAATGTACTTAACAAAATGTAAATATATGGGACTTTTCAAAACTCTCTAAGATTCTTGGCTAAAGAGACTATTTATTCTGAGACTTTTTATCGCTGAGAACCCCAGAGAGCTTTGAGTTCTCCCTTTTTGTTAAGCATACTTTTTTTCGGAAAATGAGACAATCGCGAATTCCGGACATCTTTTCATCTTCTAAAGACAGAAAATAGCACAGAATGTTATGAAATCACGTTTTCGGATGAGTGACGTAAAATGATCCATTAAAATAGTAGATAAGAACAGAGTCATATGTCTTCTATTTATACTTTTTAGATTATCAATTTAATATACTCTGCTGCTATTAATAATAATGTATACAAAACATTTAATTATCTTTTGTTTTCTATTATGTTTAACAATCAATTATTCGTCGCAATTAAAAATGTTCAAATTACCTGGATTAAGACTTCCTACATTAGGTAAAACAATGGAATATATTAAAAAGGGCTTACAAGTTAAACAGGGTGATATAATTCGTAAACCAGATAAAGTTGCTAGTAGTGTTAAAAAAGAATTTTAATCAACAAATGAATAATTGGTACTACATTCTTGTTAAAGACACAATACTGAAGAAAAAAACGTCTTTAAATTGTTTTTTCTGTTTGTTTATCAGTCTAGAATATGATATATGTATATATAAAGTTATCGACGAGAAATATGAAAAATACTTATTACGAGTATAAGCGACCACCCGGCGAAAGGCGCCGAAACTGAGTTGAGTCTAAGCTAAACTGAGATTGTGTCAACCACTTATGATTGCAAGATTTGATCATTCAACTTTACTCCGTACAATTTTCAGTTAATACAAAGATGAATAAGAGCAGGTAAAAGAGAAAGCAGTTAAATATACCTTTAAAAATATCATATTCAATACCGAATTACCTCAGCTGATTGTTCCCAATTTTTGGCTAACTCCTCTGAAAGAGGAAGAACAAGGAGTAAAAGTTTGTATAGGAAGAAATTGCTGGAAATCTGAAAATTTTACTGACTCCCCTCTCCCTAACGCATGGGGACGTACGCGAACCCTACGGACAATACTGAATACACATTGTATACGCGTATAAGCTAACGCGGACTGGCTACCCAGAACATAGATTCCATCCAGTCTCATCTTAGTCCATCACGTTTTAATTTAAGTATGTTTTAAATAATTGTGCTAATACTACGAATTAGGATGCTTTTTTCTCCAATTCTATTACTATTCTACTATCAATTCTACCATTTCGAAAAATTCAGCCATTTTTTGTATACCTCTTTAACGAAGATGGCTACAAACCTGTGATTTTAGTTATTCGCAAAACGGAACATAGTTTCAATAAACACTTTGAAGATCTTTTATGAGAAAGTCTCTAGAAAACCAGTTTGGAGTTCAAAAATTTTCCATACAAATATTTCAGTTTTTACGAGTAGATAGTCCGAATTGTCCTCTGTAAAACGGGAGCTAAGCGCAATCTTGGTTTTTAACGGCTTAAATTGGAAATTTAAAGTATTTTGAGTCTCAAAAGTGTTACCGGGGTACATGAATCAACATTGAAAATAAATGGAAACATAGGTTATTGACCATGCTAAGTCTTATGAAACATGTTTCGTGTGACTATTTAACTGGCCATTTTCAAGTTTGAATATCAGTTTTGCTGCCGAGTGACAGTTTGTGAAAATTCTCAAATTTTTTCCAGTAATAGGCGCTTGAAATTAAGTTAGAAACGAAGTCAACTGAATTCAAGTGTAACTCCTTCGTTCAGACGTGATGTACAGCCCTGCAGGTTAAACCTAACCTATAGGTTAGGTTTAGCTTATAATATACGTTTAATATGTTTGTATTTTAATAATAATTTACGAATAGAATATGAGTCAAATCGTCTTTTAAATTAATGCCTCTTTTAAATATTTTATTCATTTCTCTAGATTAGAGGTGCTACTTTACTTTTACTAATTATTACATTACCTGGTAAAAGTAATAAGCGTTCGCTACTTATTACCGGTAAAAAAGTAATAAATCTTTTTATTTTATAACTTATTACTTCTTTATGTAATAATTTTTCATTGCTTTACTTATTACTTTTCATTACTTTTCGTCTTATTAGTAATAAGTAAAGTAATAAAATATTATTACTTGAAAAAAGTAATAAGGTAATGAGATTTATTACTTGTTTCCTGGTAATAACTGATACGTTTTATTACTTGGTAAAGAACAGTAAAGTGACATCCCTACTCTAGATAATCATAAAAATGAAGCAATGACAATAAACTGTTCAACCAGGATTGGTCCAAAGTGGTTAGGATTGGACGGGGCCGACAGTTCGAAATTGTACAGAACGAAGAAAAATTTTCACGACTGGAAGGGTCATCTTCCAAGAATCGAGAAAAAAGGGGATTTCAACTCTTCAAGTAACTGTCGGTTATGGCCATTATCTAATTGTTAAATCTATCACGTCTCTAATTGAAGATAACTGTCAGTCAGACAGATAGACTGAGAATAATCTTCCACTTCCATGTCGTGATATGATGATTGATAATATTATCAAATTCTTACAATAGATCATATGCTATCTAGATTCATCAAGAATTAATTAACTTTTCTCGACTTTCTGTTCACAGGTCTTCATATTTGACATGAATGTGATTGTCTAAAAGAAAAGCTAAGCAGAGAAAAGCCTCTAAAGAATAAAGTAATTTAAATATAGTGTGGTTATTGTTGTTTGTTAAAATTCGATGGAAAATGTGCGTAAGTAACTCGTCTAATCGTGTCTCGTGGGTAAATAAAAGATGTAGTACTAAACCAAGATATGCTCGAACTTCGCTACAGTTTCCAAAATAAAAGTATAAACATTTATTCGATCTTGCATCTCGATCTGTCTTGCATGAAATCAGTACGAATGTTGATTGCAAGATGAACTTAAAAGTCAATTATCTTATTTTTCGGAAGGAAAGACCGGATAAAACAATGAAATATCTCTCGTAAGAAACTCACTCGAACCTTGCTAAGATCTTAAAGTAATCTTATTAAGATCGTGAGACTGGAAAATGCTAAGATTTGATAAGATTTTGTTAAGATCTTAGTAAGATCTTATTAAGGATAGATTATGCCTTATCTAAGATTTTTTCAAGATTGGACGAGAATCTGTTACTATCTAAACAGTAACAACTACTACGTTTTTTCATAAAAATAACTTACCATTAACTAATAGTGTTTAAATATCTATCTATACTTTCCCCCCTGTTTCTGTTTAGCTTTTTCCTATTGCTTGAACACAGGCTCCACAAGTAAAGATTTCTTTCACCGCAATTTGGAGAATTGACATATTAACATGATCGAAGTTTCTTCATGAAATAGAATATTAATTAGCATAGCATATTAATTCAGAGACGGATCAAACGCCCGTTATTGAGATCAATGTTAGTGGCAGTTCGCCGCTGTAAAAACGAGAGTAGTAATGGCTTTTTATCTGGAGAATATTCCTAGAAATGATTTCAGCCTTTAGGACTCGTGAATGTCCTCAATGTAAGCTCGCTTTGCCGTTAGTAGCTTCTATTTCAAGATGTAGAGAGCATCGGTTGGGTCCGGTCCTGTTTGATGCACAGTGGAGTGTGGCTCAGCCATTCCGCTTCATTTACAGGACGTTACAATGGCTCTAATAATGAACTGGTATTAACAGTAATATCTACGGATATACATTTTCTGAAAGTTTAAGCGTGAATGTTTTCTTCACATATGACAAACGTTACCTGTCGGTAAAACTCACAGAAGAATCAAAAGACATCAGCTTCACTTTTACTTTGAGATCAAATATCAACATATCCAATCCCAACTTTGAAACACGCGGGAGAGAAGGCTGAGATTGAAATTTTCCTAGAAATAATTAGCAAAACATCAGTAAAAATAGTTTATGCAACAAACAAAAGTTGAAACGATCTAATTCATGAGGGAGTATGCGGAAATAAAATTTCTTTGTACTCTATTTGAGCTCAGCGTCTAAGCGAGCTGCAGGAAAATAATTTCATCTTAGACGCATCATGTTGTCGAAGCCCTAAACGCGTTTGAGAGCTTTTTCTTGAAAAAACGCGAAATGACGCATTTTATGTAATAGCAGTAAACAATGGAAATGTATAAGGTCATTTTCGAGACAATGCTTCTGTCGGTTGTCAGTGGAAGAGTCTTTGACTATTTGATCGAAAGCAGCGATTATAATGGGACAGATCGTTCCATACCATTGCCTGTTAAAACACTTTGGTCAACCTAAGCTACAATGACATCGTATAAAGTAACGAAAGCACCATGTAATAAAATTTTGTCCTTTTTTTCTGTTATAACCTTCAGAAACATATAATCGCGTTAGAAAAAGGAACATATAATATCTTTTACCGAGTTATTAAGATATCTAATCAAATTCATTTTCAAAGATAGAATTTCTGAGAGCATCAGAATGGATATCGCACCTAACCGACATTTGCTTATTTTCTGATCATTAATGCTGAGATCTTTTCAATTCCTTGTAATCCTTTCAATCCTTGGTTGTCAACGCCGCTGGCCAGATTATTTACCAACGTCGCTCAAGCTTAGTTTCATCGAGTGTCAACAATATATTATGTTTACGTTGGATCGAAAATAATAAATGGAAAGACTAATTATTCGAACAAGACATTCTTGTTTATATTCTTCTTCCTGTTTGTTCTGTTTTATTTCATGTTTCATAATTCTACACTGTAAGGTTGGAAATTATTTATGGAAAATGCTCGACGCATTTTAAAGAGTACCTATAGAAATTCCTCGAGAATTTTCCAGTTTATTGAAAATCGAATTTCCAACAATGTGGAAAATCGTCGTGAATTTTCATAAATAATTTTCACGAATCTGGTGAAATTTCTGGTGAACGTCTCCGATTTTGGGACCTTCCAACCGAAACTTCGCGTCACCAGTGTCTCTGCCTAAATCAAAATTTTTGCTCGCATAGGCAGAATTGTGATCTAAAC